AAAAGAACTTATGAATACATTCATGGCATATAGCGAGACAGTGAATACGATGAAATACATAGAATACAACGGGATACATTGAAATACAATGAAAAAAAATATAGAGAATACAATAAAATAAATGGAATACAATGAAAAAAAAAGAATGAAGCACACTCTCAGCACAAATATAGCGGCCAGATGCAGAAGGAGTCTCGTAGAGAAGTATGTGGGCAAGAGTAACATCCTTAACATACACATACGCCTGGACTGAATTGGCGTAAGTTGTAGCAGAGCCAGTGAGGTACTTTAGGATGAAGAACACTCGCATTCAGCTTGTTTAGCTTTCACTGCAGATCTTGTCCTCTTGGCTAGTGAGGGTTCAGCAGACACAGGTACCGAAGAAGACTTCGTGGAAGAAGTCTTGGGCTTTTTAGGTTTGGGTGTAGGAACCTCCAATGTTGTACCCCTTTCTTGATGGACCAGTTCCATCTCCTCTTCCTCTACAACTTTAGAGGATTCTGCAACCTTTCCCTTTCCCTTCTCCATTCTCTTTTTCTTGCTTTCTTCTAGAGCTTTTTGTAAGTCAGCCTCACTTTGTTTTACCCTACTTCTTGTGGCTCTACCCTTAGGCACTGATGGGGCAGTAGGTGTTGGGGATGAATTTTTCTTTTCTTGGATGGCTTGGGAACATTTGGAGCTTTTGGAGTGGTAGCTTTACATTTCTTTGGGTCATAACTTGCTCCAACCCTTTTCAGTAAGTCAGCCAAGGTTTCCTCACTAAATGAAACAGGTTCATCTCTATGTTTGCTTAGATGAACCAACCCCTCAGCTGCTTCTCCAGAGCCACTTCCCCCCTGACTTCATGCCACTCTCCTCTGCAACCCCCGCACTATACGCAAGAACTTCTTCCNCCACTTCTTCAGGTCTTCAGCAATGCAATCAGCTCTTGTCTTTGGCACATCAACTCCTTCAGCATTCTTCTTTGTGGTTGCTTGAGGACCATCAGTGACTATGTCCCAGAGTTCATAGTCTTCCCCTATGATGTGATCCTTCATCCTGTTCCTCCACCAAGAATAGTACTGACCATTGAAGAGTGAAGGCCTAGCAGTGGATTGCCCTTCCCAGTTCCCAGGTGGTGCACTCATGTTGATCTTTTCCTAAGGTGTTAGCCTCTTCAAGGATAACCCGCTCTAATACCAATTGATGTTTTATACGTCAATACCACACAAGAGGGGGGGTGATTTGTGTGGTACCCAGGTTCTTCTAGGTGTACTAACTCTACTGTTTGCGGAATAATAAGTACATAAAACAAGGAACACAGAGATTTTTACGTGGAAAACACCTGACTTAAAAGGTGAAAAAATCATGACCTACTACTCAGTAGGATTTCCCAAACTTCCACTAAAATCACTGAGCCATAATAGCATTTAGAAAACTCTTGTAAACCTAAGGATTAACTCTAACCCCGTTGTGGCACACAGCCTCAACACAACTTCAAGTTAACTCTAACTTGAATACTCAAAGTACCTAATACAATTGCTTCTATGAAAGTTGAAAGGTACACGTTTAAATAACCTACTACAATTGAACTAGAATAAAAGAAAGACACAATGGAATTGATTCTTCTATCTTGTCCAAGTAGCTTCAGGAATGCACACTCAAATCTCACATAAATTGCTTGCAAAATTGCCTCGCTCTTTTGCTCTCAATTTAGTTTAAGTTCTGCGTTTGTGCAATGCCTGTAAAAGAGAACAATCACTGTTATTTAATGAGTTAGTAATTAGAGTTTGATTGAGACTCAATTGCTGATCTTCCATAGAAGTTGAGTCCATGAACGCCACAAACTCCAACACTATCTTTTATCCGGATTGTGTTCTCTTCACCTAAGGAGACTTTCTCTCCTTATCCAATATGCAACCTTTTCGATCAGATCAGGAGATGTTACTGCTTGATCAATGGGACTTATCTCTTTCACATACATCTCACATGTGTAGGTTGATCATGACTGTGCTTCACATGATGGACCTGGTCCATGACTGAGTTCATTTGTCATTCTTCAAAACTTCACTTATTCTTGGCCAACAGAGGTGATAATTTACTCGAAATATTCTCTTGAATTAATCTAGCTTGCACTTCGAACATTCATTACGACCATGTCAAAGCTTTGTTATTACTAAACTTGCTTTTAAATCCAAGTGATTGATCTCCTCAAATACTTAGGAGTGATGTTCTCAACAACAACCTAATCTAATGTTGTTTCTCAATCAACTCAAGATAAATAGGTACAGTTAATCAAGGGCCCTTTAATTAACTACAATAAAAATATAGTTGAACAAATAGAGATTAAAACGGCTCAATTATAATCAAACACAATCAAGAATTCATCCAACAATCAACTCCATCAAACCCTAGGGTAAAAATTTTGCTGCTCATAGTAGTATGTAAAAATTATAACCAAGAAGAGAAATAAATTGAAAATGAAAACTCGTTGGCGAATCTGTTTGTCGTCGCTCTTTGCACGTTCTTACCTTTAAACGTATTCTCTCCCCCAAAAAAATATCATTCTAGGATGTATTTATATGATTTAGGGTTTGCATGAGTCGCGTTTGACCAATTCAACCTCGGACTGGAGAATTGAAAGCTCATTCTCAATCCGCATCATGAGAGGAGGCAGACGAGCTACCTCAGGTCTTTCCTAACAGTCGTCGTGATGGGAGCACGCATTCATTGGCTTCACTGCCTCTGCCGGAGACTGAGACTTCTTTTAGTCAATGTCTTCTTGTGATGCGAGCAGGGCATTTGACCTGGCCCTTTAGCTTCCTTGTGTTCTTCACTCAACTTTTGCTCCATATCGTTCTCTTTCAGTCTTCTTTCGTTACAAATAAAAAGCATGTAACAAGCTCAAAACACATCAAAAGCCATACGAACTACGATACTTAAGCACAAGATATGAGGTGATTTCACACTAAATGTGTACACTTCTAGCTTAATATCGCTTACATCTTCGTCAATTTTGTAATTTACATGGAAGACGAAATAAATTAAAGCATTAGTACCATTATTTGGTTGGTCACAGCAAGGCCATAACTCACAAAAGGAAGTGATGGCACTAATTCCACTAAAGACCCTCTGACCACCGAGGATTGTGGTAAGATAGATGAGATCCATACCTTCTTAACCACAGGTTTCGGGTTCCTATGTGACGCGAATCAAAATTAGACCGGACCTCTATATGTTCTCGTGAGAAACGGAGAAATAGAACTACATTCCGATTCCTAAAAGTTGTGCTAGATGGACCTTTTTTTATATTACTGTTTATATTTTGACCCCATTAATTTCTCTTTTTTTTTTTTGGAAAAGTAGCCCCGTGTCTAAGTTTTAAAAAACACGCTGGCCAGTATTGTGAAGCACCCACCAAAATGTTGAAGCGCCAAAATTTATGACGATCACCAGAATTTTTAGCGCAAAAATTTTAAAGCAGCTGAATTGTGACGATCACCTGAATTTTTAGCCATAATGTTAAAATATTTTGGCGATCAGTCAGGATTTGTGGCAAAATCTTGACCATTGCCATAACTCGTGCGTACTTTAAAATTATGCAATAAAAAAAAAATCATGGCGAGCAAACTTGAAAATTCTGGAAGAGCTTTTTTTCCAAACTTCTGTTAGGGTCAAAAAATTATTAATGGCACCAAAATCATTCTCCCTTCGGACTCTACCGTCAAAATATTTAAAGAAATAAACAACCTATGGATAGAATGATTCTTCTATTTTTTTTTTTCTCTTTTTGCACAATAGGTCACATTCTTTTAGTTAGCGTTGTTTTTGCGTGTACAATTCTGGTACACATCTTGTCCTAAAATACTTGAGGAAAAAAAAAAAGCAACTTGCTAATTCGCGCGACAAAAATATCTAGATCTACAGCCCTAAATAAAAATTGACAGCAATAGTCCCAGTATGACCAAAATTTGGGGTCTTTTTTTTATTTTGTTAATCTCCTGATCATCCTGTTAGAACACTCATGAAATTTTTTCTATTTAGAACCATATACAAAATGGCTGCTGCCTAAATTTATGACACCTTTATCACAATAATTTTTGGTAAAAATAGCACGGTATAGCTAGTTTTCGGACTGGTCAATCAAAAATAGCCAGCGTTTACCAAGTCAATGAAAAATAGCCACTGTTTTGCTGCAATAGAGACCGGTCCAGCATAATATACTGGAGTTCGGTGCACTTGTGTATGAACTCCAGCATATTATGCTGGACCGGTATACTTTGCTGGCTCCAGTATAATATACTGGAGACTGGAGCACTGGTGCTCCAAACTCCAGTATATTATACTGGATCATTATACTTGCTAGAACTCCAGTATATTATGCTGGAGTTCTAGTGTACTTATGCTGGAACTCCATCATATTATGCTAGAGTTCCAGCATACTATCCTGGAACTCCAGTATAATATGCTGGAGTTCAAGTATACTTATGCTGGAACTCCAGCATAATATACTGGAGTATTTTCCGGGTTCTGAACAGTGTTTTCGCTCAGATTTATCTTTACATAAGAAGTGACTAATTTTCGATTACTTTTGAAATTGGGCTATTTTTGAACGACCAGTTGTAAATCTGGCTATTTTTAAAAATCTCCCTATGGTGAAAATAGCACGGGCTAGCCAGTTTTTGGATTGGTGATTGAAAAATAGCCAGCGTTTGCAAAGTTATTGAAAAATAGCCATTATTTTGTTGTAACACAGAAAGTTCCAGCATAATATATTGGAGATTGGTGAACCTGTGTATGAACTTCCAACATATTATGCTGGAACTCCAATACACGGAAAGTTTCCAGCATGATATAGAGGAGATTGGAGCACTTGTGTATGAACTTCCAGCATATTATGCTGGACTGGTATATTATGCTGGAATATTTTTCGGATTTTGAACAGTGTTTTCTTTCAGATTTATCTTTACATGAAAAGTGACTAAATTTTGATTACTTTTGAAACTGTGGCTATTTTTCAATTACCACTTGTAAATCTGGCTATTTTTGAATTTCACCGCATCATATTCAAAACTCAAGTCCATTAGGCACTTACAAAGGTCTGAACCCATATTCAAGGTTGTAACTGCAATACTACAAGGAGAATAACATTACTATATGTTTGTATTTCAGAATATTAAGGCTGCAACAAGAGCTTAAACCATGTATGTCATTCCAACTTGGATGATGTTCATGTGAGGTACCCTCATTGTTGCAACCCCTCCTCTACAGTTCCTCCTAAGGAATGCATACAAGTAATTTATGGTTAGTTTCTTGATGAACCACGAGTTTTTCTTCGCCCTCACGTCCCCGTGTCCTAGCAGATATGTAAATCCTGATTCAATGGCTTCGCGAAGGGCTGAGAGCTCGTATTCTAAACCAGGATCTTCATCTACTGATGCTGTTATTGATGGTTCTGAGGTAGATGTCCCGATCTCTAATCTTTGATCGCGCATTAGTGGCACCTTAAGCTCGTCCACGTCAACTTCAGCGTTGTCCCTTGGCCTCATCACAGAATTGCTGTCAAGCTCAGGTTGAGACAGTTTGTTTTCTAAAGCAAGATCAAGTGCTTCCTTTCTCAAGAACTTCTCAAGGCTATCAACCAAAAGTTGTTCGAATGAGTGATGATCTTCTTTTCTAACATCTTTATAGCCATATCGAGCTACACAACGAAACATATGATAGTCCTTAGGACAAATCCTTCGAAATAAGAACCGTTCTTCTTGAGGGACAACAGGAACTGGCACATATTTGATGCACACAAAGACTATTACAGAATGAATAGCCGGAAGGTCCAATAGAAACTGACTTAAAATCGATGGAATGCCTTGAACCAGCTCATTATATAGTAAACCTATTCCTGGTACTCGTACTGTCCCCAACGAACATCCAAGCTCGTCCATAAAATCCATCGAAATTTTCTGCTTAACTTCGCTCTGATATTTTAACACACTTCCATAGTTCCAGATATACATCACACAGAGGAAGAGAGAGGCGAAAACAAGAGGAAGCCAACCACCTTCCAAGATCTTTGATAAAACAGCAGACATATAAATGAGCTCCATTGTGCCAAATACCAATGGAAACCACAAAGCCAGAAGCAAATTTGTTTGCCATATTAGTAGCATTACAATTGTAACCAAAGTGGTGGTAACGATCATGACACCGACTTCTGCTATGCCTGCAATAGAAAAGAGTCATACTCTCAGTATGAACAAACAAGGAATATATTCTAAAGACTGGAATAAACTAGTATCCTATTAATAACCCGAATATATAGTAAAGAGAGACACTAACCGTATGCGTTAGCTATACTTGTTGTACTCCTAAACGCAGCAACCACGAGCATGCACATTATCATCAGAAACCAATTAATGACAGGAATATAGATTTGACCCATGTGCTCTTTTGAGGTGTGAATAATCTTCACCCTAGGGAAGCATCCGAGAGCCATGGCTTGCTTAACACATGAAAATGAAGCAGATATCATGGCCTGGCTTGCAATTATAGCAGCTACAGTTGCTATCCCGAAAACTGGCCAGAAGAGACTATCTGCTTATTCACAAATAAGACTCTTGAGTGTCAATGGAACACTTGTTATAGAAACCATTTAGTACTTAAATAGATAAAGACAGAATGTGGAAAGAGAATATTTAGAGATGCACGTTAGCGCGATTATTACTTGGGACTGAATCGTAAAATATTCTGCCAGCTGACTGAGGATGTTGCATAAGAAAAGCAGCTTGGCCTAAGTAGGCCAACAGAAGGCAGGGGAAAACCACGCTTGTGAAGGCAATCTGCAACAGTCAACTTGCATCAGAAATGAAACAGTTGTTGCAGATATTATATTATGGTAAGTCGAAAAGAGTGAAGGGACAAAGAAAACACCTGTATAGACTTCACAGTAAAATGACCTAAATCCGCAAACATCGCTTCTGCTCCTGCAAATTTAAAATGGTGTCAAAATTATGTCCTCTAATCAGATGTATACTGGCACTCTATAGAAAAGGAGTTTCTAGGCAATCTGCTAAAAAATTTTCGATATCTCAATCCACATATTTCCATTAGGTTTACATATACACATTGGCAGATGCATCCATTACTTGGATCTCTAAGTATGCCAAATTCTTTTTTAACTTTCGAACAAATGAAAGGAGAACAATAAATTCGCGCACCTGTGATGCATAATACACAGCCACCAAGAGCGGACCATCCTTTGCTCGAGTTCTTCTTGAAGAATAGATAGATATAAGCTGGATTTACAGCCCTTATAACTGTTACGTCATACTTCAGCAGATTGTAAATTCCTATAGACCCCAGACTGAAGAACCACAATGCAAGGGCGGGAGCAAAAGTGAAACCAACTTTACTTGACCCAAATCTCTGTATGCTGAATAATGCGCCAAGGATGATAATTGAAATTATGACAAGAGCATCTGCATGCAATACCAATCATATTAATGTTTTCAATAAAGCAAAATTATCTGAGCTCATTAGAAGTAGCCAAATGCAGTTATTTTAAACATAGAATCAAAATCACCTGCATTAAATCCTGGTACCCTACCCTCCAGTCCACTAACAGCAGACATAACTGCCCAAAAAGAAAACCATTTTAAAGCCATACTGTATATAATTTCTATTCAAACGACACAAAAGTAAATACTGCAATCCATTTCAAGATGATGAAACTAAGACAAAGTACCTGATATTGCTGGAGTCAAGATACCATCCCCTATTATCATTGACGTTCCCATCAAAACCAACAACAAGAGAAGCGTTTTCAGCAACGATTTTCGTTCCAATATCTCCTTTATGTACACAGCCCTTTCTAGCTCAGGAGTGGGCAATTTGAGCTTAAAACTTGAGATGCATTCATCAGCAGGCGTACGATTCGGAAGAAGATTGACATTTGCATATCTGCAGATCAATGAATACAGTGCAAATGTTCCTCCTGCCATGTTTTAAAACAAACAAAAAAATATTATCAACTAGAAAATCAGCATATGACAAGTTGAGAACAAAAAATAAACTTTTGGTAACTGCCCATGTATATATATATATATATACCTTCTCCATTGTCATTGGCCTTAAGCACTATGAATACATACTTCATTAGAGGAATAAGAGCAATTGTGTAAAACACAATTGACAATGCCCCTAAGACATCCACTTCTGAAGTGATGTGGACTTTGCTGAATACATCTGAGAAAACATATAAAGGGCTTGTGCCCATGTCACCATATACCACACCAAGTGTTTGAAATGCTAGAGCAAGAGTAGCCAAAAGAGGCACATCCTGTTTTGTACAAGTGAAAGAAATTAATCAAGAATGTAATCAACAGGTACAATCAAAACATGCATTTGCATGGCAGCAACATTATAGTCTATCTAGGATCCTTTTCATGACTAATGGTTTATTAAGGAATCCTGAAGTTGTTCTGTAAGATCATCTTTTTGTATATATTTTTCTGATTAATGTCATTCGCTAAGGTATTTCGTCCAAATTAATGGACAGGAATTTGTTCCTGCAAATCTCAGATTTGAAAATTTGGTAATGACTTGTCATAAGGTAGCTTCGTGGTCAATGAAGTGGGTGGAGAATCTAAGGTCTCGGGTTCAAATTCCAGCGAAGACAAACACACAAGGGGATTTCTTCACATTTGTCCGAGCCTTGGTCGATAGAGAACTTGGTATCTGTTGCTGCTTAGAGGCAGCAGGTATCTCGTGGAAATAGTCGAGGTGCGCGCAAGCTGGCCAGACACAAATATAAAAAAGGTAGCTTACTCATTCTCCAAAAGCATTTACTACATTTTCCTGGTCCACAGTGCTCTCAATAAGAAAAGCTTATTTAACTTATTTAATCAAACAGACCCATACGCTAATGAAACACAACAGGAAAGGCAAAAAGGTCATAAGACACTCAACTTTTAAAGAAACCATATCAGCACAGAATCTCAGAGATGCCATTGAAAAAGAGAGTTTAACTTCTATACATTAACAATATAAGATAAATTTTAAACTATTCAGAATTTTAAATGATAATTACTGTTCATAAAAGTGGGATTAGTAACCTAGAAAATAAGGATTACCTACAACGTACAACAAGTTCAAATACTTTATAGTATAAAAGTTCCTTTAGGTTGTCAATGTGTCAGTTAAATGTTTCTAAAAATTGAGTTTAAGTTTTACGTATTGGTGTATAAAATATTTACGCAACCAGGTCATTTACAATGTAATTAGATGTAAATCTCCATGATAAGCATTAATTGGCAACCTGATAAAAATGAACTCACCCGTTATTATGGAATAAACGACAATTATTCAGTAAATTTTTTTGTATTGTCCGGACATAAAAGTTAAATCTTGTAAAATTACCTGTTTGTGTTGGCTGCCATGAGCTCCTTTAATCTGCATAGATTCAACATCTAAAGAATCCACTCTTTTTGGTTTCTTAAGCCTTCTCCTAACAGATCCATAATTACTTTCTCTAATCCCCTCATTATTATCAATCACCACTTCTTGATCAACTAATTCATTACCATCAACCCACCTCAATGATCCAGTACTTCCTCCAGTACTACCATTTCTCCTCAATAATCCCTCTGTCACACTGCTCTCTTCAATCTCTTCTTTATTACTCATTCTATCACCTCTTCAAGAAAACAAGAAATCTTCACCAAAAATATATTATTAATTAGTACACCATTTTTGCTTCAATCATTTTCTGACAAAAGTTGTTTTAACTATAGTGTAACTACGTACAACATTATCAGCTCAATCATTTTCTGACAAAGGTTGTTCTTATTGGTTGCGGTGTTGGGTTCTGATTTTCCTCAGTACAATAATTTTGTTTCCTAATAAATCTAGCACGTGTAACACGGGATGTTTTGTTAGAATTAGTATTTAACATTCCTTGGGAGCCTAAAACGTGTCATGTAATAGTAACAGAACAACGGATTCGCCGAATAACGTTGACAGTTTCATCAGCATGAAAATACTGAATTTGTTTTATCTTCTTTTGTTTTCTTTGCTTTCTAATATTAGATAAAATGCATTGATTGTTAGATGCTGACTTAGTAACAAAATAAAATAAAATCTCGTGAAACCATCTTTTCTTGCGTAAGAATTTTTTTTTTCTTTATGGTTTAAAGGATGCATTTATATAACTAGTTAGGTTGTTTGAATAGATACATCAAGGGGCATATTATAATCCCCTGCCAAATTTGGATATTGAACCAATGTATGAAGGCTATTATTATTACCGCCATACCTCTCTATAACAACATCCCTATATAACAGTCATTCACTATAAAAGTCAAGTTTTCCTTAGAATCGATTTTTTAAGTTAGTAGCTTTTTACCGTAGCAACAATAACCATATTTATAATAGAACACTCTTTGTAAAATTATCCCTCTATAACAACTATATAGAATCTTTAAGATTACTAATAACAATTCTAAAAATATGCACACAATCTTTTCCATTGAACAAAGTTTGTATCTTGCGTAAGACACATGATTTGAAGATCTGCACATGATATATTTTCCATTAGATACCTTTTTGCTGGATATTTGGACACGAATCTTCGTCAATTCAAGCGTTATATCGGGAGTAAGAGAATGAAATCTACGAAACATCAACAATTAAAAAGTTCTTCCATGATTTTTGAAAGATTTAAAATGTGTGCCTTAAAGTTTAAATCTTTGTACGTTTAGTTAATGAATTTATTAATAATATATTAGCTTTCTTCAATATATAACTAGTGATATGCATATCTTCTGAGATTTTAAATTTGAAAAATTTTCTTATCTTTTATATGTAACATTAAGAAAGGAAAATAATTAATTTTTGGATAAGTTTTATCATAACAACCAAAAAATATTTAAACTTTAAATGTTGTTATAGGTGTATAACAGCCATTCGCTATAAGAGCCAAAAAATCTCGGAACAAACAATGTTGTTGTAGAGAGGTTTGACTGTACATTCCAATACATGTCTAGAAAGAGTAGTTCCTAGGATGTCTGCCCAAAAACATCATTTGCAAATAACGGAGGAACTACCAGCATGGTCAATCTTCCAAAAACTTCCTTTTTGGCTCTTTCCTTTGCTAAAAGATCAACTATTCTATTCTTTTCCCTGTAGCTATGTTTGATCCTTGTCCTGTCCAGTTTTTAAATCAGCAACCTGCACTCAAAAATAATAGGATCATAAATGTTATTACCCAAATATAGCATTCTGATAATCTCAGTTGAGTCAATAGCTATTTCAAGTAAAGTGAGGTTCCTGTCATCAACTATTGGCAACTCTGTAGTAAAGCTGTTAATTCAGAATGAGTGTTAGATTTGTGGGGGAGGCTGTGCATAAATCCTATTACCCAATCATCATTGGACTTCTTGAAGACACAACTAGTGTTTCCTTTCATTGGGTTACCTAGAGTTGCACCATCGTGTTTAGCTTATAGTAACCCCTTTTAGGAGGCTCCTATTTAACATTAATGGTTACTTTAATACTTTATAAATAACTGCCTCTTTACCAATAAAAATTATGGTGTTCAGTGGCTTTGGATATGGTATTGGTAGCTGAGGTAGGGTCTCTTTTTTGTTAAAGAGATTGTGGTTTCTAGTCAGCCATATATGCTAGAAGCAGAAAGAGAGAAGAAGTTCCCAGGACAAGTTATTGTTGAAGGCTTTTTCCTTAACTTGTCCCATGCATGAGGCCAAACTTGGCTAGTGAAGACGAAATCATTGTGGCAGCACTTATTGGTGAATAATTGGCTTAACTATCCCTGAAAAGCTTAGAATTTGCACAGTCAAAGAAGATATGGATAGCAGTTTCAATATTGTTAGAGCAATAAACAGATAAAGTCAATGTGGACTCCAATTTTATAGAGGAATACGCCAGTGGGAAGTCATTCATGGCGGAGGAGCCAAAAGAAAGTCTTGATCTTGTTAGGCACTTGAAGGGTCCAGATCCAATTAAAGTTTTGGTGAAGGTACCTGTAATAGAGAGGGTTTTAGAGACAACTAAATGGTAGGCTGATCTAGTGCTAAAAATACCATTGCTGGTAAGCCCCCATATAACTTTATCCTCCTTACCGGTGGCCGGTGGGAATGAAGTTGGACTTAAGGATGTTGGTGATATTGTTCGAAAGAGTGATGGACAAAGAGGATGTAGTCTAGTTACCATTGTTGTAAACAGTGACAACCCTAATAAAGTGATTAGTGGGGGCGAGGGGCCCTTCGGCCATGCTTCTAATGGAATTGTTGTTAGGGATCAAAATATCATTGAGGAAATTGACGCTATCTCCTTTGTGGACAACCCATTTTGAGCAGCTCTACAAGTATTTCAGCCGTGGAGAATGCACTACCATATGGGGGGACTTGGCTTTCTTGGGTATGTGAGTCTAATTGCAGTGTTTGGATATCAGGACTCTAGCCTAGAGGGAGGTAGGCTTATGGGAAAAAACCTCCAAGCCAGCTCAACTGTCACGACCCAAATTTCCCTCCATAGTATGTCGTGATGGGCACCTAGTCTCTAAGACTAGGTAAGCCAACTTTATGCAGTGATAACCGAAATAATAATTAAAGTCTCAAAATCCAACGACTAATATAAAGAAGATCTCCACAACTTAAAATATACATAATTGCCCAAAACCCGGTGAAATTCAAGTCACGAGCTTTATGAAGTGATACTGAATATCTCTATACAATAGTGTCTAAATAAGTACAAGGAAATAAAATAATCCAGGTGAAGGATGGACTCCGAGGCCTGCGGACGCTGGTAGCTGCACCTTGAAGTCTCCACGCACGGACTCTACTCACTGACACCTGGACTGATAGGAGGTACCTGGATCTGCACAAAAAGATGTGCAGAAGTGTAGCATGAGTACACCACAACGGTACCCAGTAAGTGCCAAGCCTAACCTCGGTAGGGTAGCGACGATGTCTAGTCAAGGCCCTACTGGAATAAATAAAAGACTGAACAATATAACGCGTTGTAATAATGATAGTAATGAAATCAACAAAGAACATGTCAAGGTTAGCTACATGGAACTAAAGCAATTAGTGCAACACGGAGAAACAAATAGTAGTATGCCAAGGAAATAACAACCAAAGACATGTGCAACAACGGAGAAATGCAGATAAGAGTCACTACCGAGGTACCGTCTTGTAGTCTCAAATCACAAGAATAAATCACAATCTTTCCTTATATCACCGCGGGAGCCTTTACATTTAGTTTTAAAATTTTTTTTTTCGAAATAGCATCCCGCGTTTTAGCTCACCTTATCACACGGCATGACTTATAGTAGTTCCCCTACTAGCCACGCGTATCAAGCCCTTCTTATCTCACCGCATGTGTTTCAATCCTAAAACTTTATACCACCACATGCGTATCAATATCACAACGTATCACAAATTGCACCTTAAGTGCCCAATATCACAACTTGCTAGAGAAACCAAACAATAACAGTATTTTCACAGTAAATAGCCCATGACCAACCACAATGTACACAAGAATCTCAATAATAACAACTGGAAAGGAACAACTCAACAGAGTGGTATTCCATAGCTTAACACTTCACCTCAATGTGTGAATCATGGCCTTTATATCTAAATACCAATTTCAACAATCAGATATTCCACAATTTAACAACTTCAAGTAAAGAGTTCAACGATTAAATAATGAGTACAGAATAAAGAAAACAAGAACTTCAATTAAACATGTAGGACAATTAGAATGTAAGAGAATAAGACAAGTATACCTGTGAAAATAGACTAGAAATGATGACTACACATGTTAAGGTAACTCAATTTTGGCATGAAAAGGATCTACACAGCTAAAACTGGTAATTTCCACCTTTAGCCCATGTACACACTCGTCACCTTGCGTACACGGCTTTCACATATCACAATTATCACAACCAACACAAAACCTAAGGGGTAATTCCCCCACACAAGGTTAGGCAAGTCACTTACCTCAAATCGCGCTAACTCAATAAATTAAAAGGCCTTTCCCTCAATTATCTATCTCCGAACGACTCGAATCTAGCAAAAAAACTTCATAGTATAAATATAAACTATAGGAAACTAATTCGAATCATAAAATTACGATCTTTGCAAAGAATTAAAAAGTCAACCAAAAAAGTCAACCCCGGCCCGCGTCTTGAACCCAACCAAAATTACAAAATTCGAACACCATTTGATAACGAGTTCAACCATACAAGAATTACTCAAATTCGACCTCAAATCGCCTTGTAAAACTCAAAAATTTGGTCTAGGAAGTTTCTACAATTTCCCCCAATTTTCCAACTCAAATCCCTAATTACATGATAAAAACAACAATAGATTCGAGCAATTTAACCAAAACTGAGTTAGGAATTTTTTACCCCAGTAATCTCTTTGAAAATCTCCCAAATGTTCGCCTCACATCGAGCTCTCTAAGTCCAAAATGTGAAATATGAGATAAAACCTCGTTTTTCAAACTTAAGTTCTGCTGCCAGTGATTTACACATCACGATCGCGGAAATCCCTTCGCGATCGCGTAACACAAATTCTGCCCACCTCCAATTTACTCTTCGCGATTGCGTGAAACCAATCGCGAACGCGATACACAAGCTGTCTCAACTTCTCGACCGCATCCTAGGCCACGGGATCGCGTAGCACAAACTGCCTCAGTCCCTGCCTCACTATTCCTTCTATGCGAACACAAACTACTTCACGCGTTCGCGATTCACTGAAAACCAACCTTTCGCGATCGCAAAACTCCTCTCGTGATCGCATAGAGAAAATTTTCCCCAGTGTCTAACTACTCTCCACTATCACATTAAT